GTATTGATGGGATACAGTCAACGCATGTACATGCACATGAAAGTCGCCTTGCTTTTCACACAAGTTTCGCATGAATGAGCTCCAGCTTCACATTTTTCGCATGAATGAGGGATCACATTTTTTGCATGAATGACGAGGGAGCCGTTTCGGGGCGAAGCAGAGAAAGGGATGAGCGCGCGGAGCGCGCGAATACTGTTTCCATAAAGAGAGTTAGGTGTTGGTAATAAAAGATTTATGGAAACGGAGACGAGCCAGGAGGCATATGAATATCTCTCAGACAAGGATGGTCGTGTCTGGCTGGGTGTGGATGCAGGATTACAAAATAGCCCACAAATCAACGGGAAGAAAGGCCACGGTCTGCACTATGAATTCCGGTACGGGTACTGCTACATGTACTTGTACCAATACAGGTTCTACAGAGTCTCCTCTTCTGTTGGTTGCCGATGAAATTTGGATTCAGCAGATTTTTCCTTCTGTTGGTGTTGGACAGTTCGCCTTTGTAGGAGCTGTCAACAAGAGGATGAATCGAATGTACAAAACTTACTGCAAAATTGAACTCAAGAAAAATCCAAGAATGGTGGAGGATGACCCTCAGGAAGACCTGGAGGATGACAACAGTCGCTCTGCTGAAATCACCGACACTCTTTACAGTGCCACATTCTGTAACCTGCCCCGTGCAGAGTATTGGCTCAGGGAGACGTCCAGCCATGAGACACATTATCGTGATCATGTTTGTACTGTGATTGCCAAAACTGGAAATATTGTAGTCTTGAAATGGGCACGACAAAAAGGATTCCCGTGGAATGGGTGGACATGCGAATCGGCTGCTCAAAATGGACATTTGGATATTTTGAAATGGGCTCGTGCCAATGGTTGCCCATGGGATCATTGGACATGTAAAAACGCTGCTCGATTTGGGCATTTGGAAGTTTTGAAGTGGGCTCATGAAAATGGTTGTCCATGGAAGGCGTCAACCTGTGGGGCTGCCGCTCGAAATGGGCATTTGGAGGTTCTGAAGTGGGCACGTGCAAATGGTTGCCCTTGGCATGCTTTGACATGTGCCCGAGCTGCCGAAGGTGGACATTTGGAAATTCTTCAATGGTTGCGTGAAAATGGTTGTCAGTGGAATGCATGGACATGTGCTCGAGCTTCTGGAGGTAGCCATTTGGAAATCTTGAAGTGGGCTCATGCAAATGGCTGTCGTTGGGATGTATCAGTATGCTGGTGTGCTGCTGCAGATGGAAAACCTGGAAATTCTCCAATGGTGCATGAAATGGTTCCATGGAATGCATCAACATGTGAGAAAGCTGCTCTAGGTGGCCACTTGGAAATTTTGAAGTGGGCTCGTGCAAATGGTTGTCATGGAAGCTCAACATGTGGCTGCGCTCAAAATGGCATTGGAGTTTTGAAGTGGGCTCGTGCAAATGGTTGCCCTTGGCATGTTTTGACATGTGCTCGAGCTGCTGAAGGTGGACATTTGGAAGTGTAAAGTGGGCTCTGCCAAGTTGTCCATGGGGGGTTTTGAAGTGTGCTCGAGCTGCTGAACGTGGACATTTGGAAGTTTTGAAATGGGCTCGTGAAAACAGTTGTCCTTGGAAGGCAACAACATGCTGGGCTGCGGCCAAAAATGGACATTTGGGTGTTCTAAAGTGGGCTCGTGCAAATGGTTGCCCTTGGCATGCTTTGACATGTGCCCGAGCTGCCGAAGGTGGACATTTGGAAATTCTCCAATGGTTGCGTGAAAATGGTTGTCCGTGGACTGCGTCAACATGTGAAAATGCTGCTCTGGGTGGCCACTTGGAAATTTTGAAGTGGGCTCGTGCAAATGGTTGTCCATGGAATGCTTGGACTGATCTTGCCGGCCGCAGAAACAGAAGAAGCAACAAAAGTGAAGTGATCCAGTGGCTTCGCCAGAATGGCTGTCCTGAGTGGTAACGGAAAATCGTGGAAATTCATGCATCAATTTCCCCCTCCCAGGAGCACTAGCAGTTGCATGTCCTGCGCTATGCACGCAAAAGGTTTTCGCTCCGGGTCTATTCTTTATCGCATCCCACAACTGGTACACCCTGGTTTTGCACTTCTGGTCAGAATGGTGCTAACGTCATAGTTTGTGTGTGTTGTACTAGCTGCTGCACTCTTTTTGTGGGGGTTGATCAGTCAAATTCATGATTCAATCATCCAATCATCCAATCCTCCCGGAACCCTGAACTTCCCAGCCAGAGCCCAAACTTGATAGGGCTTCGAAAGGGCGGCCTAGGCTGGCTGGGGGTTGAGCGAAACGCATTGGAAAGATCGATGTACTAAGGGTTTCCGGCCACGGTGGGATCTGATCTAACGGGAAGGTAGCAGGTAGCAGGAATCGTCAGATCTTTGTAGGAGCACGAGTAGCCGAGCCCGTGCGACCAACCAAGTCTGGAATGATTACTCGAATCGATGAGGTGACTATGAATTGCATTCAGAAGCCAAGGAGAGCAAAGCGTTTTACAAGGACCCACTATCATTTTAAAATACTTTCAAATACTGCTTGGACAACGGGCATTCCTACCACATCATCTAGAGTGCTCATTCGGCTTCCACCCTAGCTCTTTCTTCCGCCTCGAGCTTTATTCATCTGCTCTTCGAGCTTGCCAGTGCCCCTCGCTGCTGGCGACGAATTCTTTCGGAAGCGGGGCGTGGGAGGACGCTCAAAGCAAGAAGAGGTACATGCATTTGGTTGATCGAAACTGTACCGTATTGACTTGGAAATTCGATAACCTTTGCCCTGCCACTACGACACTCCTTCTCCGAATAACAACAAGCCCAACCTCAGCATATCATCAGAGGTGACTGTAGAGCGGATGTTAGATTCAGAGCCGTGGTGACTCGACTCACTGGAGAGTAGGGGCTTTCCACCATTGTGGATCCATCGTTGATGGTACGTGGAGATTCTCCCTTCTCCCTTACCGCTCCGTATCCTCCATTGAAATCCTCCCTAACCTTTACAAAAGAGGACCCCCCTTCAACCTTTTCTTCCTCCCTGAAGCCACTCATTATCTGCAGGTTGGTTGCCCTGTTGCTAGCTAGAACTGGAATTATGAGACTTCCCAGAAACCCAAAGATGTAAGGATCTCAAGGAGGCGCTTGGATGGCCATGCTGATCTTGGCCGTGACTCAGTTGCTGCTGGATGAAAGGCTTCAGACTGTATTTGCAAAAACGTACAGGGCACCACAAGAGAGCCGTGGGCTACAACTGATGCAGGAAACACACAACAATGTTGAAAGTGATAGCAGCAACAGCTCTTTCCATGATGAATGTACTTTTGCTCGCAACCTTACTTTCTCCAACAAACCTCCAATGCAATACACGGCTCTTAGCCTTATTCGCGACTCGATCCTAGATAGGGTTTGAGTTCGACTCACGACTGAGTCTCTCGTGAATAGTCATTTGAGACAGGGTTCTCAATGACCGCGCTAGTCATACTAGGTTGATGATGAAACATCGCTCTAGATATTTAGCCAGCGTGGAGTACTTCCACGCTACTAGATCCAGGCTAGACAAACCTTCCACGCGTTCCGTTTTAGGATCGTGGAGAGACGTAGGATTACTACCACAACCTACTATATCACACTTTATAGTCTCCCGCGGGAAGCCAGATCTACGATCCCTTGATGAAGATCTCTCTCGTTGATTAGTTTTCATAGCCTTCTAATCTCTCTCATAACTTTCATTCTCTCAAACTCAAAACACTCGAAAGATTAGTTCTTTACACTAGCTTTTAGCGTAGTGCATTTTGTAACAAACAAAATAGCTTTCAGCTAACCTCAACCTATTCCTTCACCATAAAATGGCTCAAGGAAAGCATGCGTTCCCAACTTCGGAAACAGTTGCGTGACAAACCCTTCTCTCCGTCGACAATGACGAAGAAACGAGACCGACGATACTCGTGCAACCACTTGAAACTGCAACCATGTTGCAAGCGAATCAGAAGACTCTGACAATGAGGACAACTCCTCTATCAATTTCAATCACTTGGATAGAGAAATCTATATCTGAGGATAGGCCAGGATGATGATTCAACGGAACCATTTCCGATTTCTCATACAAAGTGATAAGATATCTCACTAACTAGTAAACAATGAATTGTTTGCAACTGATGAATCTACGCAAATTAGATGATTGCCTTGTAAGCTGCTCAACTAGACTCTGATGATCTATTTAGCATCTTAACCTCGTCCGTGGCCAACACCTCGTAAACGTCGCAAGACAAGGACCTCAAACCATCGTCTATGTTAGATTTAACAAGCGAGAAAAAGGGAAACCAAAACCCGTTACAACTCCGTTGCTTACTGGATACAGGAGCATTCCGGAACCTTGATTGCTCAACTCATGCTAAAGAAATTACGCATTGAAGGATCTTGGGGCGTCCAAACGATGTGGACTACCCCTGCAGAGAATTAAACACCAGAACAAGTGCAAAGGTGCATTATGATTCCTGAATTCCACGAAGATAGAATTATCGAGTGGATTACACGTACCAAAGACTTGGGGGCGTATGAATTGATCATAGGTCGAGACATCCTCTCTGATCTAGGATTCAAGTTCATTTCACTACCATGTCATGGGAATGGGACGCGCATTCTTCCCTAGAAAGACAGACACAAATAAGAAGAGAACTTCTCATTCTCTGATCCTCCGCTGTGAGACAGTCAGATCGTCTCAAGAAGACTTTATGCGAAATACGACAGTGACTTAAGGGCAGTTTGCCAAAGTCGAAGATCAGTTTAACACGGAAGAGAAGAACAGCTTCATTCTTACTGGACGAGTATCTGACTATTCGTGGTACTTTAGGAAAGTGGCAGATGGACGACTACGTAAAGTAGAACTCTCTCCCTTGATCAGTCAAACCCTATCATCGCCAGGGCTTATTCTATTCCACGTGTCCATAGCAACACTCTTAAGATGTAGTTTGAACGTCTCTGCGACGCATGAGTACTCAAGGAAGTAAACCGTTCCGAGTGGCGGCACCAACTTTTATCATTCCAAGTAAGATGGATCTGTACGATTCATCTCTGATTTCCCGGAACTGAACAAAAGGATTAAGCGGAAGCCTTACCCTACCCCAAAAATACAGCGACATGCTCTTGAACTTAGATGGATTCAAGTACGCTTCTAGTCTAGACCTGAACATGGAATACTATCCAATCGAGCTGTCACCTCACTCGAAGCAACTCTGTACCACGTACTCCCGTGGGAAAAGTACGAGTACCAGAGGTTGCCAATGGTCTTATGTAATAGTCCCGACATCTCAATAGAAGAATGGAACACTAATGCACGACCGAGAATACGCCGTGCAAACATTGATGATCTACTCATCCTAACTAACAGCAATCTAGCAGATCACGTTGTAAAAGTTGTATTAAGTTCTCCGAAGGCCTCGAGAAGCCGGACTTAAGATCAATGCTAAAAAGTCCTTCTTCGCAAGAGGAAAACTTGAGTTACCTAGGTTACTGATTACTCGTGAAGGGATCCAACCTATATCCAAGAAAATAGACGCTATTAAGAATATCGCTCCTCCTACCAACAGAAAGGAACTCAGTAGATTTCATTGAACCTAGTGAACTACTTTCGAGACATGTGGATTAGACGATCACTTGTACTGGCCCCACTCGCTGCTTCGTTGACTTCCAAAACAACGAAAGGGAAATGGGAAGCGAAACACGACAAGGCCTTTAGCCAGATGAAGAAGATCATCAGCAAAGAGACCTTGCTCGCCTACCCCTACTTCAACGATACATTCGTTATCACACGGATGCGAGTGATACTCAACTAGGTGCTGTAATTTCCCAGAAGGGAAACCTATCGCGTTCTAAAGTAGGAAGCTCAACCCTGCTCAGACACGTTACACAGTTAACGAGAAGGAAATTCTCAGAATCGTAGAAACTCTAAAGGAGTTCCGTAACATTCTTCTAGGACAGAAGATCATTTGACATACGGACCACAAGAAATCTTACATGTAAGAACTTCAATCCCGATCGCGTAAAGCGATGGCGCCTTATTCCTGAAGAATACGGCCCTGAACTACGACATAAGGGCGAACAGAACATCGTCGCTGATGCGTGTTCGAGACTTAACATCTCAACAACGACGGTTCTTCAGAACAGATGAACGCCAGCGAGATCGCTGTACTCATGGCTGCAGACGAAGAGGACTTCCCTAGCGAGTTCCCTCTGTCGTTCCCCGAGATCGAATCATCGTCAGAAAGATGACAACGATATCAAGAAGCTCTTCAAGGTTACAAGCCAAACGACTACAGAAAGCAATCTTTCCCCAGAGGGTATAAGTCCTAAGACTTAGTAGTTAAGGACAATAAAATCGTCTTACCTAAAACTATGCAGAAGAAGCTAGTTGAAAGGTACCATGGTGTGCTGATTCATCCTTGCGAGACTCGCACAGAACTAACCATCAGTCAACACTACACCTGCAAAGGACTGCGCAAGACTGTGCAGGCC